AAAGTATTCTTCAAAGCTGAAATTTTCCTATAATAATTGTTTAATTAAATAGAATATGTTGTACTATAGTTTTTATTCTTTTGTTTATTTCATATTATAACAATTAAAAACATAAAACGCTAAAATTACATTTTATACAGTATATACATAAATGACAATCAAGTTTTACGAGTAATGAAATAAAAATGAAATGATCAATAGTAAAATTACACCGTTACTCGCCATAATGTAACCGTAAAGTGCAGAATCGTTGAATGTAGTTGCACTGTGTTCACACAGGGCCGTCTTATTACTTTTCCAATAACAAGTATTACTTAATGAATTACTATAAAAAAAATACTATACGAAGGTTGTTTTTTTTTTGGTATATTTGTTGAATCAATATTTAAAATTTTTTGCATTTTAATTAAAAAAAATTTCTTTTCTTCACTTTCTTCTACCACAATCTAATGTTGTTTTCATGTAAAATCTTTCTTTACCTAATGTAGAATAAAAATTTGATAAAAAAAGTTTAAATATTAAGTATTAATACTGTTAATACTTACTAAAAGAAGAATAATATAGGATCGAAAAAAATCGTATTCGAAACGAAACTTTACATTTAGAAGATGTCTTAGTTAATTAGATTTCTAAGAAAACCACTTGTAATAATTTGAATGTTATATTTATACATTTTCATTTTTAATAGAACCATGAAATTTGTTTATATGACACTTCCTTATCTATATGCAAAGTTTAAAATTGTAAATTTTAATTTTATTCAATTTATTTCGTTCTGTTTTGTAAATATTCGATTTCACATTTAATTATGGGGTTATACATATTGGAAATAGTATAAATTGAATAAAATAAGTTATTATTACACATAGAATTGGAATTATATACACTAAGCAATATATGATGCTATGTACATAGATATGTATGTATTTAGCAAATATCGTAATTATGTTGAAAATATTTAAAAAAATAAAATTATGAACCCATGGTTCTTTAACAACTGCAGTCGGTTCTGGCAATGAGTCATTTACCGGGAAGGTGCGCACGCATCCAAGTCAGCCAGGGTAGACTGATGAAAATACGACTATTCCTTGCTGAACTGTTGAAATGTGTACAACTTATGCGTAATTTCAAAACAATTCTATAAACAACGCACATAGCCCTCCTTTTGTTTGCTTGCACTAAAATTAACGATTTTTATAATCTATCTTGTTCTTTTTGAAATCAGTGAATAGTGAGTGTAAAAATGGTGTCCGGCGGAATGACTTGCGTCAAATACATGACGTTTATCTTTAACTTAATATTCGCAGTAAGTACTCCATGTTGTATTCGTTAGTTGTATTCCTTACCCTAAGCTTCAATTGTCTGTTATGTTACTCTTCTAATATTTAACAAGAATACTTTAATTATAATTTCAAACAAATTGGAAATCAAGAAATAAACAAAACACTTCTAATTTTATAAAAAACCTGATTACCTGTTATATTCGAACAATTTAGAATAATTATGTGTGGTATTCACAATCGCTGTACAACAAATAATTCATTGGGTTATTTAGTTCTGTCATTATCATTACAAATATTTTTGAAAATAATATGATAAATCTTTTTTAACCTATATTTTAATTAATGTAATGATATTTATCTATATTAAGATGTCGATGAATCTAAAAGAATTTCTATTTGAAATTAAAATCAAATGTAATAGTTTTTCTATTTGCTTTATTATTAAAACTGTTAAATTAGAGCTATTAAATAATCATTACTAAATGTGGGTTATGTGAATTAGGCTTGTTTTGCATGTGTATTTTGCATGTGTATTTATGCTCTCATGAATTACTTTGATATGTGTGTGTAATTGTCCATACCTCGTAAATTATTGCGAGCGCGTAAAATAGATTTCTTCCTTTACAAACCTACGAAATGAATAATTTTATGCACTTATGTGTATATATAATTATAAAATGTATGCAAG